TTTCTTTTTCACCACAATATTTTTTTTTAAAAATCCTATGAAATAATAGAATGTTTACCGCTGCAGATGTGTAGAATTAAGATACTATTTCCCTAGTTGCAGCATTAATTAGAAAAGCTAGGTTTGCTACATTTTTAATTATTAGGCTGTTTATACTAATACTGCGTGAAGTTGGACCATCCTGACTAGGTGCAGTTCACTGACCTAAATTCATGTTGCAGTAGGCAGATATTAGATGAAAAAAATGGCTCTAATGAAGATAAGGAGACATAGTCCGGATTCGGATTTAATAAAGGCTTAAACATGCCTCATTGTAGCAGGAGGATGTTCCTGGAGGGATGACCAAAGGACACCAGGAATGTATACCAAGACTGTATATTTCCAGTAGGATCACCCAAGATATGAAAGTCATCCCAAGCAGGCACTATAGGGCATTGGGCACATTGGGCAGCAGCAATATAGGAAGGTGCTAAAATGGATAATCATTTTAGTGACAATGGCAAAAGTATCATTTCATACTGTACTCGAGAAGGCAATAATAAAGCACTCCTGTATTCAGTATGCAGGTATCCTGAAACCATATGGATAGACAAGATAAAGTGATTATCAATATACTGCTGGATAAAGGGCCCTTCGAGTCATATGGCAATCAACATGCTACTGAAATAGTGTTGAGAATCTTTCAGAGTGCTAATTGTGTTTTTGATACAGTTAGGTTAAAGCTTCCAGACTATTAGTTGCTGATGTTATCATACAGGAAAAGAAAATCTGAAGCTGCAAAGACAGAATTACAATGGGAACATAAAATGTAAGAAAGAAGAGCATAGGAAAACTCAACACAGTGAAAGATGAAATAAATTGAATATATATTGGCATCCTGGGCATCAGCAAATTGAAAAGGATTGAAATTGAATACTGTCAGCCAGAAGATCATGAAAAATTTCAAAGAAAAAACTGTTGCTTTCATAATCAGGAAGGATATAGCAAAGGTGGTACTTGGGTACAATGTAGTCAGTGACTGAGTAATATCAAGTAGATTTTGCAGACAAAATTATGATTATTCAAGTTTATGCCACAACCATTGATGCAGAACAAGAAATAGTTGATACCTTTTATGCTCAAGTTCAAGCTGAAATCAATAGGACATATATGCAAGATGTGGTGCTTCTGGTTGGAGACTGGATTGCCAAAGTAGGAAATAGTAAGGAGGAAAACTAAACTGGACTGTATGCCTTAGGAAGCAGAAGTGAAGCAGGATTATGATTTATCAGCTGCTAACAATTTCATATTTATTCGTTGCTAACACATTCTTCAAACAACCAAAACAACATGGACATTACCAGATGGAGCACACAGAAAACATTGTTTGAATTATTGGTAGAGGGAGGTGAAAGAACTCAATTCTAATGGCAAAGACATGGATAAGATTGACTGTGGAATAGAATGCAGACTGCTCATAAGCACGTTCCAGATCAAGCTAAAGTGGAAGCCAACCAATTTCCATATATGAATAGAAACAGAAGAAAGCAAGCAGGATGTCAAAAGAGATGGTGGAAATTGCCAAGAAGAGAAGAGAAGCTGAAACTAAGAAAGGCAAAGATCTCAAAAAGGAACTTAACAGTGAAAGAACTACCAGTTAAAAAACATGCCACAGAGTAGCACTTGGTAGGAAAGCAACGAAAGCCTGGAAAAGATATTCAGATATAACTATCCCAATTAATTCAATTGATCATTGAACAAAACAATTCAGAGTTTCACTCAAGACACAAATGACCAGGCTCAAACGATCATATTTTGAACATGTTTTGCAAAGACCCAATTCCCTTGAGAAATTCATAATGGTGGAAAGTGGAAGGAAAGTGTAAAAGAGGATGATGAGCAGTTTTTCTCAGTTTTGCAAGCTCTAGAAATATTGGTACTACAACTTCTGGAATTTCCAGCCAGTATGATCAAATATTGGAAAAGGCACACCCTTTTTCCATTAATTTCTCTTCTTGAATGATATTTGTGTTCTTTTTCTTTGTATATTAAAAGCTGTGTAACAACTGGATATAAATTCCTTAGTATGCTGTTCAGATAATGTGTTTATTAAATAATAGGACCTGTAAAGTAATCTACATATACTTAAATAATATTGAGTGGTAATGAGCAAAGCATTCAAAGAAAAAAGTATGGCTGTTTTCTGATTATTATTTTTTTTTAAATCATGGGTATCTGCAAGGGGCTTTCCATGGGAAGATATATGGAGTCTTTTCTAATCACCTGCTATTTTGACTTTTTAAGTGGAGATGCTAAGGATCAAATCTGAGACTTCATACAAAACATGTACCAAGCCTAACCAGGTTCTCTATCTTCACATTTTTCTTTTGTCACAGTTTCCTTTGGTCAAACTGGTTTTTCAGATTTTTGAAAGAAATTAGAACTCTTACAAGCTGCCTATTGCAGTTGAACATAGGGTGACTTCATGCTCTATCCTTTTTTCAGGCCTTCTGAATGAGGGGTAGTTAATTAATCTAGTGATGAAGCATTAGATAATAGTTTCAGTTCTTCATTTATATTCCACTGGCCAATCTGGTACATAATAGGTCAGGATGTGAATGCCTAAAAATGTCTGCCATGAACCATTTCCACATTCATTTTCAGCTTTGTTTAAACAGAATAATAATGTCCATAGCTTTCTTTAGGCTCTCTGCTGCAGACGTTCAGCATCAATTATGCGGCAGATGAGGAAGTAGCTGGTGAGGAGGGAGATCATTTGTCTTTACTTTAGCTAAACTGTCATGCATATCCTCTTTAGAACAGTTTGCAATTCATACATTGCTAGTTGGCAGTTGCTGGGTCATGCAATGTGCATGCAATTTGAGCAGTCTCATTCTGTGGCTGTTTTTTTACTATTTCTTACCAAAACATCCACAGGCTTAGTAAGAAGTATGGATCAGTGAACTCTGATACATGTGGATAGGGTTTACTATTTAAATCATATAAATTATGGAAATTCTTTGGTTTGGCTCATAACAGGACAATTCTAAACCTTTTAACTTGGGTTTGCTTTTGACAACAAGCAGGATAATTTCATATTTACAATTTTAGATGGCTTGTCAATCAATCAATCAACATTTATTTATGGTCCAAGACCAAACACAATAAAAGACCAGCATACAATACAGTAATTATAAAAAGAAAATTTTAAATTGTGAGAAAATCCTAAAGCAATTAGCAACTAACATTTAATAACATGAGGGATGAGCCAGATGGTTTCTAACAGCTATAGCTATTGATAAGAATTTTGCAACCTTCTTAGAGGTTTGTCTTTTGATGCCTGAGTGGCCAGCTGTTAAAGCCTTGTTGACACTGCCAGAAAAACAATACAAAACACATAAACAGCGAACTTTTGTGATCTTAAATATTTGTATTCACATATCTGCATTTAATGCTGATTGTAAAGTTATAGTTTGTTAAGCTTTGTGTTGTGACAGAACATCTAATGTTCCAGCTTAAATGCTTATTTGCTTGTGCAGTAGTTATTTTCATTATCCTTAGTTTACTATAACATTTAAAGTAAATTTCCATTTTAATTTCCCTTTATTCTAACGGGCTAGAACTAGTATGAATTTGGCTGTGGTCAGTTCAGTAATACCCAATGATATAAAAATGAATCAACAGGAGACGTAATGACTATAAAGATGGTGTTTGTAAACCACAAGAATATGAATCATGCTAGAATGGATTACCATCAAAAATTTATTGTATCCAAATATAGTTGGATAGAATGTTTATCCCACTATATTTGTGGTTTGTTATTCTGTTCACTTTGTAGTTTGAGGACACATATTCTTCTTAAATCCGTATTGATAGGAGGCTGTCTGCTTCAATTAGGGCCAGTGTTAATCATGTCTGAGAGTAAAAGGCCCTTTTACACCATTTTTTCCAGGATGTTAACAGTATGCCATGTTCAGTTGTAAGTTATTTGCAGTCTAAAAGTCATTTTTGGTATGGATAGTATGTAAATTTACTTCACGTTTAGTTGATTACTTACTCAAATATCTGGTGATTAATTAGCTATAGTTCTTAACATCTACATTAAACACGTATAAAAACCCATTCTCCCTTATTTTAGTTTTAAAAAGATAGAACAAAAAAACTATCATGGGAAAAATGTACTAAAGAATAACTTATTGTTGTCAAAAATTTTACTTTAGATTAAAAGCTGTCCAGGCTCTTATTTTCTATTCTCATATACTTATCTAAAACAATAAAATGTTATTAGATTATTTGATTATTTAGAGATGCTGATAGTTGGTCAAAATACATTAAGTGAATCTGATTCTTCTAATTACATTGGTGATATTTTTAAAAATCTATAAAACATGAATTAAGAAATTGTGAAATCTTGGGCAAAAAAAACCTTCTTAAATGTAATGTTGGAACCAAATACATATCTATGGAACATACTGTATTCATTTATTAACACTGTTATGTGAACTGTTTTTAAGTACGAGCATCAGGCTTTGTGCAGTGAAATATTTGTACCTGTGTCAGAAATTGGAAATCAATCAATAACTATACACCCATATTACATAGCAAACTCTAATGCCTGGAATGCCTACAATTTGGACTCCAGCCAATTGGTCATGCTCTGCAGTGCAAAACTGTTTGCACCCTGTCATTTTGATTTACTCTGCAATAAGGAACTAATTATGCTCCAGTTATTATAACATGCTTTGCACATGTGTGAGAGATTTAATTAAATTAATTGATTTATAAGCATATTAACAATTCTATGCAAATAGATGCTCAAAATGAAACCCCCCCTTTTTATTCATTTAGCAAAATGAAGAAGTTCCCTGATCCTCTGTTAAGCTGGAAAGCCTCCTCCTAACTATGAGCAAAAGAGGCTTTCCTTGAACAAAGGGTACCTACCATGGGATCCAAAGCAGGAATTAATGGTGCTAATTATTTTTTTAGGCAAAGGGTAATACTATATATTTTATTTCTTTCAGAATGAAAGAATTAGTTACTGAGCTTGAAAATAAGGAAACTATAGTAGTAAATCTAAACAAACAGCTGAGAAGCTTCCACAAAGAGAAGGAAATTATATGGAGACAGTCACAATTGTTCCAGTAAGAATTCTCACATGAGGGGGTTTGCAGGGGAACTTATTTTCTGGTAAAATTCTCTCTCCCTCTCTCTCTCTCTCTCTCTCTCTCCCCCCTCCCCCCCGTCATTTGCCTGAAAAATCTGTTTTCTTGGTGGTTTATAAAGCTGTTTTAAATAAATGTAAAGTAGTAGTAGTAAAAACAGGGAAATAATGTGTAAAAATAGTTTACAAATTCAGGTTTATTGACCAAACTAATGGTATGATGCTACAAGAATGTTTAGGCAAGATCCTGATTTACCAATAGTTCTAATGGTTCATAGCGTGTGTACACTCTCTATCTCTCCCAATAAATCAGTGTATTTTCTTCTCTTTAATGCCAACTTGTGCTGGGATTGAAAAGGAGATAGTATGAACAAGTTTTCATTGAAAACTCTTAACAACAGGAATTTCCTTTGCTACTTATGCATTTATCTGAATTTGTGTATTTGAGTATGTTAGAAAATTATTTTTCATACATTAAAATTGATTTAAATAATTAATATTTAAAAGGGCTATTTTCTAAATATTATTTTGCTTTTAAAATCATAACCATTTTTTCTTTCTTCTTTGACAGGAAAACATTGGAACAACATAAATTCATCCTAAAGAAAGCCTTTAGTCTTCTTCCCTATATCAGGGGAGAACTAAACAATTTTAAAGAAGAAATATTTGGTTTTCTCAAAAAATGGATTTCACTAAAAGGACAGATATTTTTACAACTAAAAAACATAAATATAATAGGACTGGCAGGTAGATTATCAAAGTAAAACTTTTCCTAGCATGTTAGTTTTCAGACTGGATTTGCAATTCTTCTGTATTTTGTTGTCAAGGCAATAATACATTGAGATGATACTAGTTCTTACTAAGGCAGTAAAAGTATATCCTGGTTATGCTACTGTACAGTGTTGGGATTAGAAAAATACTTTCAGTTCACATTTTAATGTAATTTACCTGAATCAGTATATGAACCAGAACACAGTTTCATTTTTCTGAATGAAGAGTTTCGTTTTTCTGAACAGAAAAATGTTTCTTGCAGAAAGTGCCCCTGAAAACATATATAATAATGAAATATCACACAAAATGGGTAATCTTGGAGGAAATTAATGGAAAAACGTATATATTAGGAAAAATATTTTAGGGTTAATCTGCAAAATAAAGTGCAAAAAAATTTTTGTGTGGATTTTTTAAAATGCAAATTGATGTAGAACAGAGATAAAACTTAAATTCTGAAAAATAGGAAACTAGTATACAGTATTTCTGTAAATCAAATTATGTATCGAAATAATGTTTACAAAATTATTCACAGAAAAGTAGAAGCTGGGCCTAACATGCAGTCCTGGATATTGATTTTCCCATATGAATGGAGTGTTTTGCTTTGATAAGGCTGAACTTAAAATCCCCCTTATACACTGAAGTCATAGCATCCAGAGAATGTTTAGCATCTCAGTGAAGAGAGGCCTCAAAGAGAATGTCAGTCCCTGGGGTTTATGGCCCAGGTTTTCAGAATCCACATCCAGGAGTCAACTGCACAGTACTACTTACCAAAAGTCATTGAATGTGTGTTCACTGATTCCTTTCTGTGCATTGTGATGTGAGATGACTTGAACAATATCCAACATAGAGTATTTTCTGCATCACAGAAACACCATTGTCAGCCTTCCCCTAAGTCAGTGAGAGGAAGGGTCATGGAAACTTATGTTTCCAAATTGTGTGGGTTGATGTTTTCATTGGAGAAATTTGATTGTCTTTTCTAATGGGTCAAACAAGGACATCTTGGCAAGATGTTGCTGCTATTTAGTTTCCATAATTCACCTGAGATGATTGCAAGATTCTGGGCAAGTATTAAATTCAGTGCAACCTCTGGGGAAGGAGGGGGGATAGAATAGTAGAAAATAGGCAAGTATAGGAATGCATTTGGATTGTTCTGAAAGTGGAGCTGTGTCAAACAATATGACAAGATCAGATGTACTGTATTACAGGAAAATCTATTTAAAAATATATTGCTAACATGTGAAGCAATAATACATTTTTTGTATTTGAATGTAATATTAATTTGGTCAGTTGTTGCAGAAGCTTATATAAATATTGAGACCAGCTGCCTTATTAAATGCACACGTCTTGATTAATAAAACTCTCTTTGCATTTTTGAGAAGCTAGTATAGAAAGCGGAGTAGCATTTTACACTAATGCGCTATAAATGTATGTCTGTTTTCTCCTTACTTTTTCAACATTTCTGTTTTAAAGCAGATTTGTTGTGAATGCTGAGCTATGTATGCCGAAATTGAGCATTAAGGAAACAAAACAGTGTGCCTCTCTGCATACAGGACTGTTTTGAAATTATATTTTGCTTTGTGAAGCACAAAGTTCAAACAAATTGTTACTGACCCGTGTCACAATTAATATAAATAAAAACAAAAAATAATATGAATACTGAACAAAAAGCAGCACATTTGGACATTTATTTATTTTATTTAAATAACTTATATGGCTGTCTATCTCAGACAGTGATCCTAGGTGGCTCATAGCAACCAGTAAAAACAAGAGCATAAAACAAATCATATCCTTCCCACCAAATTACCAACCCCCAGACACAACCCCTGGTGGAAAAGCTAGGTCTTCACAGTCTTCTGAAAAGCTAACAGGGCAGGGCCCACTGTTAAACTGCTGTTTTGTGAGCTGCACTGGCTTCCTGGGGACTGCCTGGACAAGTCGCTGCTGTTTTCTTGGCAAGATTTCAGAAGTGGCTTGCCATTGCCTTCTTCCTAGGGCTTAGAGAGAGTATCTGGCCCAAGGTCACGCAGCTAGCTTTGTGCCTAAGGTGGGACTAGAACTCACAATCTCCTGGTTTCTAGTCTGGTACCTTAACCACTACACCAAATTGGTTCTCAAATATATAATTTGTATAACCTTAAAAAAATATATTAGTGAAAAAAATGATAAGCTAATACTGAAAATAAGCAACAATCTGAAAAGGCAGTCACAAAGCATTTTGATATTACTGTCAAGGAAACAGCATGGATGTATGCAATTTAGTCAACAAGAGTCAAGTTTGAGTTGAGGGAAAGTCAATTTTACTTTTCATGTATTTCTCAAAAAAATGGATATATATTGTGTAAATGTTAACTTGCATTTTTTTTTAGCAAGACATTAACATACACTTTAGCATACAGTGAATGCTATTAGGAGATATATTTAACTATTACTAGGTATGAGGCTTCAGGGTGAATTAATGAAATTGGCCAAGTCTTTATGGGACGTTTATTGCTTACAATGTTTAGCTTTTCATTAACTTCATAGGGTTGAATTAGAGAAGATTTGAAGAATGATGTGGATTAAATCCATATTTTTGTTTGTATCAATAAATAGCTAACAAATTGAAATGATATATAAATGTTAGTATCTTAACTACAGATACCTATTCTCCTTAAAGTATTCTGTATAGTATAGTATAGTATAGTATAGTATAGTATAGTATAGTATAGTATAGTATAGGTGTGTATATAGAGTATAAAATAGCAACAAATAATTTTTTTTGGATAATGTAATCAGAGTGCATAAATGTTATAATAGGTGTAGAATGGATATATCTATATTTTTATGTTGGCCTTTATCACATTTCAGAAGTATCCAGTTTGAACCAAAGCTTATGTGAGTGTCAGAGGGAAAATATCATCCTTCAGGAAGAGGTGGAGCACCTAAGACTGAAGTTGGATGTGGCTGCACTGGAAGCTAAGCAACTTCAAGCTTCTCTTTTACGAGATAATGAATTACAAAACAGATGTAATGAATTACAAAAGAAAACACAAGGCAAGAGAAGGATGTTAATTTTTTAAAAAGTGACTAACAGCATGTTTTAAATACATGTATTATTGCAGTAGACAATCTGTAAAGGCAGAAATGGGGAACTGTAATTTCCTATTATGAGCATAAAACTACATGAACCACTGATTCATGCAATCCCCTCCACCAATATATTTTTGTATGGCTGTACAAAAGCAGTTACTTTCACTTTTAAAGTATCCACAGTTCCCAATTATATTTCAATATGAAGAACTCTGGCTTCTTGTTTGAACAATTCATGGTCTAATTATATTTTCAGATTCTGCCTTATTTTAAAACCACAGTTTCTGATTCAGGACACAACTGGCAACTGTGGTCATCAGTGCAATTTCCAGAGGAGAAACTCATGTTTCTCTTCTCACAACTATGTGAGAGGAGAAAAGAAATGGTCAACCAACAGTACCTGCATATAGTGGGAAATCATTGTCTCTGATTACATCTGAATGCATCCAAACAACCATTAAATTTCACTTCATATTTGTTCATATTTGTCTTTTACTAACCTCCACATGTTTTGTGCACATATATGCTTCTTTTCTTTGAATGTTTATGGACATTTTTGTTCCTTAATAAGTGTTGGATTTGCAAAATTATATTTATACACTCACCCACTTCATCTTATTTCCCTAAAAGGATGTAGGTAGGACCTTGAAAGAGATTATGAAAAGATTTGTAGCCTCTTTTAGAAGATATACAAACAATTTGCATATTGTATATTTGGGGATCTCAGCTAATGTAATTTACAAGGAGTAAGTAGTGGGTGAAAAAAATCTGTATTTAAATTGTGTTTTGCCCATCATTTACTCTTGCATCTAAACATCTCTCTTGATTTGCAAATATCAGGTAACACCTCTTGCCTGTCAGAGAAGTTTCTAAGGGTATCTCCAGAGAAACACTCAAAAGAGGCTGATGGTGTTTTTAGCATACAAGTGTATAATATCAGTAGAACAATCAATGGTTCACACTTTTTCTCTGGACTAACCAATTCATTATTACCACCCTCTTCCCCTTGTTTCTTTAGGGTCATAATATGTAATCACATTAGTTTACTATTTATTTTCCAGTATTCAAAGCACTTCATACATACTTGGAATGTTCAAAACTCTATGGTCCAGGAATGGAACATTCCATTGTTCCCCAGAGTACAGTACAGCCAGTCTGGAAGACCACGGACCATTTCCGATGTCAAAGGAATCATTTCCCAAAGATGACAGACTGCCCCAGGAATAGCCAGATGAGGAGAAAAACAGTGTTCTGTGAAATACTAGAATGTTAGGTTTCTGGACCACAGAGTTTTCTGTACAGCTGGTTGTAATCCTCATAAACACTCTATAAAAACTTTCCAGTATTTCCCATGTTGGAAAGATGCCTTAGGCTTCCTTAAAACTAGCAACATTTTGGCAGAATGGAGACTCAAACCAGGACTCCCTGATTCATACCGTATTTATCCAACAGGAAAATAAGGTTCCCCCCTCCCCCATAATTACCAGATAATTGAGGGAATCTACATTTCTGGATTGGAACACAAGAAGCTGTTAAATGCAAAGGAATGAGCATGAGATGCAGACATCCCTGCTGTAAAGCCTGGATGCTATAGGTACCTTTAAAATTAGCCAGGTGCATGGGAAAGACTGTTCCCCCAGTACCTAAACAGGGCTTTTCTCCCTTTTCTTTTTTTCCCTATTGCAGAATGTATGAGTTGGAAGGGACTGTATAGGGTAACTATTCCAGTTACTTTTTTTTTCTTGTCTCATCTCTATCTAGTTTTGTTGTCCCCTTTCCTTTTCTTTCTCTTCCCAGTGCACTGAATGGGTCCTTGACATTGCAGGAATGAGATAAAATGAATGCAAATGAAGGAACTATGAAACAACATCCTGAATTTTACCATCTTCTTCAGCAACCCTACTTTGACCATTTTCTATGTTTTGGGTGGCTGTTGAGGCACAACAGTTTGGCAGCACCTAACTGACCTTGGGAATTGCCCCAAACCTAAGCAGGGTTAGACTTGTTTAATACTTGGTGTGTAGGTTAGACTGGGAAAGTTATAAAAAATTATGGAAGAAGATTATGGTAAACTATTTCTATATTTGTGCCCAGGAAGCTATTTTATTTATAATTTTAATTTGTAAAGCCACCCACTCACCATCAACTGTGGTGGCTTACAGAGGATTAAAAATAGTTAATAAAAAATAAGTGAAGAACAACCATGCCAGGGAAAAACAAAATCAATTACATCTAAATAGCAGATTCATAGATCTCTTAATGGACAGTAGGGTCACAGCCATACGGACGTTGAGAGGAGGGGGATTCTGTTCATAAGGCCAGGTACAGAGAACCACCTGGGTCTCCTAAGATGATGTTGTTTTATTGACAGGATCTGGAACATGCCAACTCCTTCAGATCTTAGAAACAATTGGAGAAAGGCATTTCTGTAAATGTCGTAGTGATCACAAGTGTCCACGTGAGAACTTGAGCTTGATTCAAGAGAATCTTTATCTTCCTGCTGCTTAGCTTAAGCTGCCACTTTGCAAATCTGACATAGGTGCCTTTGAGACAGTAGTTTATGATAGAAAATGAGTGCCACTGGATTCAGATCCGTGTTCTTGAATTACTACTTTTTGCAAAAATTGTCCTAAGTAGAAAGCTGTGTAATCACATAACGTTGTTCACCTGGTTGAGATGAGCAACTATAGAAATTAAAATAAATAAATTGTTCATTTGGACATTGTGACCAGATTTTAAAAAGAATTAGACAACCTATGACCCATTGGGTCTTCATTTCAGAGATATTTCCTTACCTAAACAGAAAAACAGGATGACCAAGGGCAAAAAAACAGTGGGAGTATGAGCAACTTGTGACTTGCTGCCAGCTTCCCCATTGACTTTGCTTGTGGGAAGTTGGCAGGGAGCGTCAGAAATCTTCCTTCCTTTCCTCCTTTTCCTTCCTCCCTCTCTCCCTCCATCAATTCATCAATTTTGCTGCTGAGCAAAGTCATACTACAACTTGGGTGATAACTTATTGATTTTAAGCTAAGCCATCTTGTGATAAAGTAAATGCACCTCATCTCAAAGTGCTGTAACTTTTTTTCACTCCAAAATGATGATTTTCTTTTCTACCTTTCATAAGGGATGAATGGTCCCATAAAGATGTGGAGAATTCCATCCAGCACAAAAGAAACAAGAGATGAACAAGTTATCCTGTTTCCCCACTCCCCACTCCAGCCTACCTTATTGTTGCACCATACAGAAGTCTTCCATAACCTGTCCATTTCCAGATGTGTTCAGCTCTCATTAATTCCTAATGAGATGATGGGATATGTAGTCCAAAGGTTTAGGACTCAACCAAGTTGAGAAAGTTTGTCACATCTTTTTTTTCTTCTTATAACATTCCACTGATCTTTGAAAAAAGTTTTAGTAGTTAACTAGGAAGTAAACCCCAAAATCTAACTCTTGTAGTTTAATGAATGAAAGCTATGATGTAATTCTTTAGGCAGATTCTAGTATCAATTACATTTATTAAACTTGTCAATGTACTAAGTAATAGGCCATTACATTATAGGTTTTGGCTGATAAACTAAAAATCAAGATGTACTAGTTCCCACTGAAATAATTTTAAATTTTCAAGCTTAAAATACTTGTTTTTTTCCTAATATGTCTTTCCCTTCTTAGAGGTCAGTATGACCAGAAAATTAGTAAAATGAATTCCTGTTTTCCTCCAGAAAGAGCTGAATGCTCTCCTATTTTCAGTAAACAGAAAGACACTATGACCAGCCATGGAGCAATTAAAAAAAACCCTGAATTCCTTTTTTTAAATTTGCCTATAAAGTGAAGTTTGTCTCTAACTTCAAAATGATTTTGAAGTATCCCCTACTGGGGATACTAGAAGAATTAAAAGATATGAGTAAGAAGGCATTATTCCATTATTCCAGTTATTGCAATGAAAGGTGGAATAACCAGTTACTGAATTTGTGAGAGATAAGCTGAGAGCTAGCAGTTCTCAGGACAGAGATGTCAGTTATGTCATCAGTCAACAATTGTTCAGTTTTAAAACCATATAGCACATTCTCAGATTACATGTTGGTTTACTTCTTTATGAAATAAATGAAATAAGCATCTAGTGTTGGTGTTTTTTGCTCACTCACACTCCTATATATCCGTAGGACCCATATGAAGTTCAGATAACTTTCATTGGCAAAGATATGCAAAAATTCAGGAAACCCAGAAGAGGCAATTACTTTTTCACAGAACTGGTTCTCTCTGGGAAATTCTGAGTACCCTATGTCTTTTGTTCTTAACTATGGGATAGCTTATTATTTTAAAATTGGCAGTGGCTCTTGGGGGTCTTAATTAATTCTTCCAGTGTATGTTGTATGTACTGTATTTCCCACTGAAATATAGGAAATAAATAAATGTAATAAAGTGCTCAGTCCTGGGGGAAGCTGACCTACATGAATATGTCTGATCCTTGATAAGAAGCCCTGTTAATGGCCTGCTACTGCGCCCTTGATAATGCATCGTAACCATGCTCCATCTGAAATTTAGCAAGCGGACTCAAATGATAGGACTTTTATGTAGTGATGTCTATCTGAAGTTTGTGTTATTCCATTTCTTTTTAATGAACTTTTGCAATATGAATTTAATCTTTGAAACTTGTCTTTCCAACTGATTTTGTTTTTTTACTTGTAGCTTTTATTGCACTGTTTCAATATTCATTGTTTAAACTTTCTACCTTTTACTGACTGCCTTGAGATGGATGGATAGACAGACATTTCATTTCAAGGCAGTTGGAGTATATGTCAGAAATTTTCTGTTTTAATGAACCACTCAGATTTCTTTATTGCAAAGCATGGATCTAAAAATACAATATACAATTAAAATTAAATTGTATACAATTAAATACAAAATACAATTAAAATTAAAAATTAAAACAACGATAAAAACTTGTTTGAAAAAATATATATTCAGTGTCTTTTTGAATGCTAACAAGAAGATCAGTGCAACAGAGAGCACATGTCAAGGGCAGCTATAGATAAGATACAAGTTGCTGCCAGATCAGCTTCAGCATGTGACTGGAATAGAACATTTTGCAGAGAAGGTATCTAACACTCGTGTCTGTGACTTCAAAAAGCAAACCAATCCTTTCAATTTTCAATTATAATATCATTGCAATCAATATACGTTGTGGCCTTTTTGGTATTTGATTGAAATAGGAGACATTTTACTTTTTTAGTGCTTTTTATTGATTGACTTGCCTGCTGAATAGTTTTATGCATTTTTATGTTCTAATTTTGCTGTATCTATATCACACTTTTTTCCTATAACTCTACCCTGAGATTTCTTGTAGTTGAAAAATATAAGTGTGTAGGCAAATATGAAATTAAACCAATCAGCCAATTTAATTAATTATTGAGACATTTTTACAAACATATATTTTATCAATAATTTGGG